GTGTAGTGCCTCTTTCAGGAGCTCTTGTAAAGCAGGCCTGGTGGTGACAAAATCTCTGAGTATTTGCTTGTTCACAAAGGATTTTATTTTTCCTTCATTTATGAAGCTCAGTTTGGCTGGATATGTAATTCTGGGTTGAAAGTTCTTTTCTTTAAGGATGTTGAATATTGGCCTCCATTCTCTTCTTGCTTGTAGAGTTTCTGCCGAGATATCTGCTGTGAGTCTGATGGGCTTTCCTTTTTTGGTGACCCAACCTTTCTCTCTGGCTTCCCTTAGTATTTTTTCCTTCATTTCAACCCTGGTGAATCTGACAATTATGTGCCTTGGGGTTGCTCTTCTTGCGGAGTATCTTTGTGGTGTTCTCTGTATTTCCTGGATTTGAGTGTTGGCCTGCCTTGCTAGGTTGAGGAAATTTTCCTGGGTAATATCCTGAAGAGTATTTTCCAGCTTGAAATCGTTCTCTTCGTCACATTCTGATACACCTATCAAACATAGGTTAGGTCTCTTCACATAGTCCCACATTTCTTGGAGACTTCGTTCATTCCTTTTTGCGTTTTTTTCCCTAATCTTGGTTTCTCGTTTTATTTCATTGAGTTGATCTTCGACTTTTGATATTCTTTCTTCTGCTTGGTCAATTCGGCTGTTGAAATCTTGTGCATGCTTTGTGAAGTTCTCATGTGTTTTTGAGCTCCTTCATTCATATTCCTCTCTAAGTTATCCATTCTTGTTATCATTTCCTCGAATCTTTTTTCAAGGTTCTTAGTTTCTTTGCATTGATTTAGAACATGTTCTTTTAGCTCAGAGAAGTTTCTCATTACCCACCTTCTGAAGTCTGATTCCGTCATTTCATCACAGTCATTCTCCATCCAGCTTTGTTCCCTTGCTGGTGAGGAGTTTTGGTCCTTTGTAAGAGGTGAGGTGTTTTGGTTTTGGGTGTTTTCCTCCTTTTTGCACTGGTTTCTTTCCATCTTTGTGGATTTATCCACCTGTCATCTGAGTAGTTGCTGACTTTTCAATTGGGTCTCTGAGTGGATGCCCAGATTGTTGATGATGAGGTATTTCTGTTACTTGGTTTTCCTTCTACCAGTCTAGCCCCTCTGCTGTACGACTGCTGAGGTCCACTCCAGGCCCTGCTTGTCTGGGGTACACCTGTAGCAGCTGCAGAACAGTGAGGGATGCTACCAGTTTCTTCTTCTGCTATTTTTGTCCCAGAATGATGCCTGCCTAATGTCAGTCTGATCAGTCCTTTTTGAGGTGACTCTGGGTATACATGGGTCAGGGAGCTGCTTGAGGAGACGGTCTGTACTTTATAGGAGCTCAAGTGCTGAGCTGTGAGCTCCGTTGTTCATTCAGGGCTGTTAGGCTGCTACGTTTATGTCTGCTGCAGCAGAACTCTTAAAACCCCTTTTTATTCCTCAGATGCTCTGTCTCGGGGAGTTGGGGCTTTCTTTATGAGTGTCTGTTGCACTATCCTGCCCAGCTAGGAGGCAGTCTAGTCACTATTTGCCTGCCACGGGCTCTGCCCTGCGGCAAAGTCTCTCTGTTACGGCGGGCTGCATCATCAATGGGTGTGTACTTCAGTAGGAGCGGATTGCCTCGGTAATGGCAAACGCCCCTCCCCCACTGAGCTGCACCATCCTGGGTTCAGCTGTGCCCACAGTGAAACTCTCCACCGGAGCATTTCGAATTGCCGTTTTGTTTGTCCCTGTGGGGGTGAAACCCACCAAGCCTGCTCGCCTGGCTCCCTGCCTCAGAGCGCCTTCCTTTTTTTTTTTTTTTTTAAAGTTGAATGGATGGCTGTCTCCCAGGTGTTTCAGTCGCCTGCTGTTAGGGCACCAGGATCTCTTTGATTTCCTGTGCAGTGAGCCACTGCACTGGCTCAAACGCCACTTCCCAAGAATCTCCTGGTCTGGCTCACTGTCCAAGTCCCGTTTAATCAGATGAATATGCTAATCTGCCCTCCCAAATCTCAGATTGCTGGTTTAGCAGGGCACCCGGACTAGTGTGTTTTGTGGGGAGTGTTGTGGAGTGCCACTGTGCTGTGGCACCGGCTGAGGTGGCTGCAACAGCCAAAATGGCTGCACTTGCATCCCATGTCTCTCCTACACCTGGGAATTTCCCCATTCTGTGGGCAACAAAGATCCGTCTGGAAATGCAGCTTTGACTCACCCTCTGTGCGTTCACTAAGAGCTGTGATCCTGAGTTGTTCTTACTTGAATCGATCTCCCATATTTCATCTTTTAATGAGCTTTTTTTTTGAGATGGAGTCTCACTCTGTCACCCAGGCTGGACTGCAGTGGTGCGATCTCAGCTCACTGCAACCTCCACCTCCTGGGTTCAAGCAATTCTCCTGCCTCAGCCTCCTGAGTAGCTGGGATTACAGATGTGCGCCACCATGGTTGGCTATTTTTTTGTATTTTTAGTAGAGATGGGATTTCACCATGTTGGTCACACTGGTCTTGAACTTCTGACCTCGTGATGTGCCTGCCTTGGTCTCTCAAAGTGATGGGATTACAGGCATGAGCCACCGTGCCTGGCCTTAATGAGCATTTTCTTAAATAAAAGTGAGATAGAAAATCTTTTCCCCAAGTTGATAAGCCATTTATTTTCTTTCTGTGGGAGTGGTCATCTTACATTTTTTATTTTTCTTTGGGTTCTTTTTTCATATTTACTTATAAGAATGTGTTTTACAATTAATTTGTTTTTCTTTTGTTGCAAAAGGTTGCCTTTTGACTTTTTGGGGAGTGCCTTTGGCTAATTTTTCTGAAGTTAAATTTATCCACATTTTCTTTTGCAGTCACACCACCCATCAATTTCCAAGTTTTGTGAGGCTTTTTTCAGAGCATGGTTAAGTTTTCACTTATTTACATGTCTGGCTCTGACCTTTTTAGTCTTTTGAATGGGTCTTTTTTTAATGGCATTGCTATTTTTATTACTGTGACTTTTTTTTATTACTGTGATTTTTCTTTTTTCCTTTTTTGAGATGGAGTCTAGCTATGTTGCCCAGGCTGGAGTATGGTGGTGCCAACTCGGCCTACCGAAACCTCCGCCTCCCAGGTTCAAGTAATTCTCCTGCCACAGTCTCCTGAGTAGCTGGGATTACAGACACCTGCCACCAGGCCCAGCTAATTTTTGTATTTTTAATAGAGACCAGGTTTCACCACGTTGGTCAGGATGGTCTGGAACTCCTGACATCAAGTGATCCACCCACCTCGGCCTCCCAATACTCTGACTTTCCAACAGGTTTTATTTATTTATTTATTTATTTATTTATTTTAAAGATGGGGTTTCACCATGATGGCCAGGCTGGTCTTGAACTCCTGACCTCAGGTGATCCACCCATCTCAGCCTCCCATAGTGCTAGGATTACAGGCGTGAGCCACCGTGCCCGGCCTCCAACAGGTTTTAATATCTGGTGGAGTGACTTTTTTGTTGTTGTTGTTAAATCAACCCTTACAAACAATTGCTGCTATGGTAAAGTGTATCTTTTATTTGGATTGAGGGAAATTTATAATGAAATACAGAGATTTCATGTATCTTTTTAAGTTTAATCCAGGTATTTTATATTATTATGACTAGCATCTTTTACATCTTTTTGGTTGTTGGTTATTCCTGCATGGTAAAATTAATGATTTATGCCTATGAATTCTGTGCCCAATGAACAAAGTACATGCTAAAGACAGTGTGTATCAAGGGAAAAAAATATAGATAATTAAGTAAAAGTTCTTGGGACAACTGGAAAGCCTTCTGGAAAAAAGATAACTGAACCTGGTTTTCATGTCTTATGACAAGATAATGTTCAGATAAATCATTTTTTTTTTCTAAAAGAGTCCTAAAAGCTGTAGCAGAAACCAGGAGAAAATTATTTCATAGCTCCAGAGTAGGGATAACCTTATTTTGATATAAGTCCCAGGGGCTATGAAAAAGTGATAAATTGTTAAATGAGAAAAGATACAGGCCAGGTTCGGGGGCTCATGCTTGTAATCCCAGTACTTTGGGAGGCCAAGGCAGGCAGATCACTTGAGATCAGCAGTTCAAGACCAGCCTGGCCAACATGGTGAAACCCTGTCTCTACTAAAAATATAAAAATTAGCCGGTGTGGTGGGGCATACCTGCAGTCCCAGCTACTTGGGAGGCTGAGGTAGGAGAATCATTTGAACCGGGAGGCAGAGATTGCAGTGAGCACAGATTGCACCACTGCACTCTAGCCTGGGGAACAGAGCAAGACTCTGTCTCAAAAGAAAAAAAAAAGATACAGAATAGTGTGTATAATACATGGTGTGCTCCTATATAATTTTTTAAAATGCTAAAAATTAGGCCAGGAAGGATACATTAATAATAATCTGGGCAACATGTGGGGAGAGGCAGCGGGCATTCATAGGACTGGATTATGTTTTATGGTTTTCAAATTTTGAACCAGATAAGTGTAGATGGTATTAAAATTTTAAATAGCTACTGCAAAAGAAGAAAGATTAAGCAAAGACTTGCTGGATCTTAAATGTTTATCAGTGTTTTCCAGTGGGGTCTCGAGTGTTTTCTAAGCATAAAATCACATCTGCCAAACTGATACATTTACTCCCACATTTTCAAATTGCATGACTTTCTTTTTTTTTCTTCCTTGCCTAATTGCACTTGCTGGTACCTCTAGTACAATGCTAAATAAGAGCAAAACATTGCATCTTGGTATTTTGTTTCCTCTTCATTTACATTTGAGTTTGTTTTCTTGCCATATACAATATTTATTTTTATGCATTTGTTAACTTTGTACCACTGGTTTCTGGGTGTTTTCCTCAGAGAATATATTTTTAACTACTTGGCTAAATTTTCTCTGGTACTTTTCTAATTCTCTGCTTCTCTGTTTTCTGCTTTTTAAAATTCTCAAATGTTTTATCCCCACGGAGTTTACTTTGTGATAGAAAAGGTCTCACTTGCAAATAGAGACGCTGCAGAGTTGTGTCTTTGCTCCCTTGATAATGATTGGGGCTGGGGTGTTTCTTTAGGGACGACCTGGCCCAGCTGCCCTTCCTGACCATGTGCCTGAAGGAGAGTCTGCGTTTGCATCCCCCAGCTCCGTTCATCTCCCGACGCTGCGCCAAGGACATTGTTCTCCCAGATGGCCGAGTCATCCCCAAAGGTGCCCACAGCCTCAGCGGGAGGAGTCCCTGCATAGGAAGAGGGGCCCCTCAGGTAGTCCTTATCCTGACTGCCCCTTCTCTCCCACAGGCATTATCTGCGTCATCAATATTATAGGAATCCATCACAACCCAAGTGTGTGGCCGGATCCTGAGGTGCTGCCTTCCCCATCCTCCCCCCACTCCCTGCCCTCTTTTGCATCAATTCCAAGGTTCTTAGGGGAGGGGTCAGGGTTTTGATCAGGAAAATCCATCACCTTGCCCCAACACACACACAACTGTCTCTCCAAGGCTGCCGATCCTGGCAGATCCCACCCAGCAAAACTTCTTGGTTTCCCCTGCAGGTCTACGACCCCTTCCGCTTCGACCCAGAGAACAGCAAGGAGAGGTCACCTCTGGCTTTTATTCCCTTTTCTGCAGGGCCCAGGTAGGGGCCGCCTGTGTCTGGTATGGGGATGGGCTGATGGGTGCAGAGGTCAAAAAAGGGGGATGCTGCAGGTGGTCCCAGTTCCAGATCTCCTTCCCTCCATTCCTTCACAGTTTATGGGAAAACGTCCATAGAATGGGGATGAGTAGATCCTAGGGGTTCCGCGGAGTGCTCAGAATCCCCTCCTCCATCTGCGCTGGGAGCTGGAGTCTGGCGCAGGCTCCAGGAACGTGCAGCCCACACGGGGGTCCCAGGCACGCTCAGCCCCTCTCTATCTCTCCGGCCGATCTGGGTGCGGTTGGGGGTCCCGGACCAGGTTCCTGGCGTGATGGGGCCCAAATGCGGGTCCTGGGCGAAGTCACAGTCGCCACTCCCGCCCGCAGGAACTGCATCGGGCAGGCGTTCGCCATGGCAGAGATGAAGGTGGTCCTGGCGCTGACGCTGCTGCACTTCCGCTTCCTGCCGGACCACAGGGAGCCCCGCAGGAAGCCGGAGCTGATCATGCGCGCGGAGGGGGGACTTTGGCTGCATGTGGAGCCCATCAACGCGGGCTCACAGTGACTCTCTGACCCATCCACCTGCCTGTGCAGCTTCTCCGGAATAAAACGCTTCTGTCACCTCTGCATAGGCCTCGCTGACAGCCTGCAGGGGGCACTTGGGGACTGGGAGGCCTCAGGGAAGGGGCCTAACCTCGGTGGGTTAGGTGCGGCCTGAAAGCTGCAGATACTGGCTCCGTACAGCTTTGTATTCCTGCTTAATGGGCAAACCCGGAGAGGTGTGGCCTGAAAGATGCAGATACTGGAACCTCAGCGTAGGTGTATGGCTTGGGGCACGTTTGAGCTCTGAGCACAGACTGCCAGGAACCTAGCTAACTGCTGCTAGTGGAATGCTATGGGTGCAAGACCTGTCTTGCCAAGAGTGTAGGAGCTGGGTGGGGCTTACTGCCACCTGCTACTCCCCATTCCCCATACAGACTCTTCTGTGAAGCAGAGGCAGCTGTGATCCTCCCTGGAACATTGTCCCTGCAGCCAGAGAACCAGTCTCTGATCCTCAGTGGGGCTACTGCTTTTGTCCCGATGTGGAGAGCCAGGGGGCCCACTTGCCTGACTGAGCTCTCATCTGGTATATTAACACATAGGACAGAAACTTTGGGGAGCCCTATGGCCCCACCCACTGCCTGAGACACCAGAGCACCTCTCCTGGGTAACCTAAGGCACGAATTCCACTCCTACCACCACAGCTGGTGCTCTTTTGCAAGCGCCACCTCCTGGCTGTGGGCCAGTTGACGGAATCCATTATAACATCTGCTTGCAAGCACAATAATGAAGCAGGAGGGAGAAAAATTGGGCATGACCTCAGCTATCACCATTGCCTGCATCAACCTGGTTAATCAGGAAGTTCTGAGTGTGTCCACATGACCAGTTTGTTACTGCCACACCTGGCATTTGAGAAAACCAACACACTAAGGCTATTTATAACCGAGCAATCTCACAGAATCTACATCACTCCCTTTCTTCCCCCACCAGAGCTGGTGCTCCACTGCTGGGAGTCTCGAGGATCTGTTACATCACTGGTCCCTTGCAGACATTATCCAGCACCAGCATGGATTGTGGCCACTCCACTGGGTGGTTAGACCCAGAGGAGCTGCAGTCTTCATAGTAGGCTGGCCCTCGGGGACTCCCAATCCTAGGGGAAAGGGAGTGCACCATATCGACAGAGCACCCCATCGGATAAAATATTCCAGATGGCAGACCTTGCATCCCAGAACTTTCTGCATATGAAAAGTTTATTTCAGCAGAGGCACAGGTGCTGTGCTGGGTTCAGTAGGTGAAAAATCTGCAGACCACTTCAGCAGTCAGGCAGTTCTGGGGACCATGAAGGGCTTCTTCCATGAGAGCTTGGCATGGCTATACATGTAGACACTCTTTCTGGAATACTTCAGAGTGACTGCATACTGTAAGAGCAGTACCCTCCAGGTTCAGGCTTGCGTGAGGGGAGAGCCACAATTCCTCTCTACAGGGAATATCAGCATTCCTGCCAGTGAAAAGAAGTGCCTGTCGGATCTGAATAGTCAGATCACTGGGTCAGGAGTGTATCTGGGAGTTGGCTAACTCTCCTGCTGTCCTGGCAGGGCAGCTGAGGAGGCTCCCTCCCTTACCCTTGAAAAGACCTCAGTGTGTTAATCACTGAGAGCTCCCTCAGCCACCTCTGTCAAGTCTGAGACCTCTGCCCACCACTGGGAACTGCATCGACCAAACCGCTTTAACCACAGCTGGTTTTTATTCATGACACCTCCCTCGACTGGCCTAAAGCATGAACTGTTCAACTGTAAACAAAACACTGGGGGATATAAATAAAGTGCATACTACTGGGGGATGGGATAAGCGTCAAGAGACCTCTGCCTTTCCAACACCAGCAGACAGTGAACCTGCACTCATGCTGAGCACATTGCTGCTACTGCAACCAGCATCTGAGAAAGCCACCATACAAAGACCCCATATAACCAAGGAACTCATGCAGAGTCTGCCCCATGAAAATCCCCAGGGTCATAGACTATAATAAACTATAAACATTAAAGTCACATCCTCAAAGGGAAGAAAGAACTAAGAAAAATCACAGTTGAATAAAAAAATAAATTAAAAAATAATTATAAGAATTAGTCTAACCAGATGAGAGGAAATCAGAAAAATAATTCTGGCAATATAACAAAGCAGGGTTCTATAACACTGATTAGCTCTCCAGCAATAGATCCAAACCAAGATGAAATCTTTAAAATACCAGATAAATGCCATGGAAGAGCTTAAAAAAATAAAATAACAGATAAAGAATTCAATAGGTTAATTATTAAGTTACTCAAGGAAATAAAAGAGAGTAGTAAAAACCAACATAAATTTAAAAGTTAATTCAGTATATACATAAAAATGTTCTAAAGAGATAGACATTTTAAAGAAAAATCAATCAGAACTTCTAGAAATGAAAGACACATTTAGAGACTTACCGAATGCAGGGGAAAGTTTTGAAAGTAGGCTAGATCAAGTAGAAGAAAGAATTTCAGAGCTCAAAGACAAGGCTTTTGAGTTAACCCAATTGGACAAAAATAAAGAAAAAACTAAAAAAAAAAAAAAAATCATGGCCAGATGTGGTGGCTCATGCCTGTAATCCAAGCACTTTGGAGGCCAAGGCGGGTGGATCACCTGAGGTCGAGAGTTCAAGACCAGCCTGACCAACATGGTGAAACCCCGTCTTAAAAAAAAAAAAAGAGAAAACTAACTTACTTTCTTTCTTTCGTTCTTTCTAGATAGGAAATGGGAAGGGTACCCAAGAAATGTAAGGTATGCATAATGTCCAATTATGAGAATCATTGACATTCTTGAGGGAGAAGAGAAAGCCAAAGCAGTCCTGAGCAAAAAGAACAAATCTGAAGGCACCACATTACCTGACTTTATATTATATCAGAAGGTGATAGTACCATGATCAAGGCAGATACATAGACCAAGGGAACAAAGTAGAGACTCCAGAAATAAAGCCAAATACTTACAACCAACTGATCTTCGATGAAGCATACAAAAACATAAATTGGAGAATGAATACCCTCTTTAATAAACCATCGTGCTGGGAAAACTGGATAGCCACACATAGAAGAATGAAACTAGCTATTAATGTTTTCCGTGGCTGCACCCTGTGAGACTCAATCTGATCCTGTACTGCACCTCCTGGAGTCACTGAACATCTTAGCAATCTTAGGCACCAGAGAGCATCCCTTAAAGAAGGCACAAAAGAATGTGGGTACCCAGAGACTCACGGCCAAGGTAAGTCCCAGGCCAGGCAGCATTCACCACAAGCTGAACAAGGAGCCACTGGACCTTAAGGGACCATCAGCAGAAGCTTAGCAGTATTCTCCATGGGCCTTCAGTGAAGGTCACGGGGTGAGGCACCTCTGCCTGTGTGAAGGGGAGGGAAGAGTAGGAAGGACCACATCTCATGGCTTGAGTGCCAGCTCAGCCACAATAAATATAACACCAGGTAGATTTCCTGTTTTTGGTGCCAGTCCATGGCACTCAGTACTAGTACCAGTTGTTGGCAACTCTGGACCCATCCAGGGCCTGGGAAACTCTCTGCCCTGAAGGGAAGGGCACAAGCCCAGCTGGCTTCACCACCTGCTGACTACTTGTGGAGCCTTGAGTGAACTTAGGCAGTAGCCAGGAAGTTGGTATAGGAGGCCTTGAGTGGGATCCAGTGCTCTGCTGGTTTTAGGTCTAAGCCAGCATAGTTCCATTGGTGGTGGCCACAGAGGTGCTTGTGTCAGCCCATCCCCAGCTCCTGGAGGCTTAGAACACAGAGAAAGCAACTATGTTTGTTTCTGAGAAAGTAAGGGGGGTAAAATAAGTGTCTCTTCCTGGTTATCCAGAGAATTATTCAAATGTTATCTACCATCAAGGTGGTACCTTTATGAGTCTACAAGAACCACAGTGTTATTGGGCTTGGGATGCCCCTTAATTCAAATACAGTATATATGACAACATCTAAGTCTTTTTGAATATCTGGAAGTTTTCCTTAAAAGATGGGTACGAACAAGCCCAGCCTGTGAGGATTATAATAAATACCTAACTCTTCAATGATGAGACACAGATGAATATCCAGAAGCATCAAGACCATCCAGGAAAACATGACCTCACCAAAGGAACTAAGTAAGTCACCAGAGACCAATCCTGGAGATACAGATATATGTGAACTTTCAGCAGAGAAATCAAAATTGCTGTTTTGAGGAAACTCAAAAAAATTCAAGATAATACAGAAAAAAAACTTGGATTTCTATTAGATGAATTTAAAAAAGAGATAATTTAAAAGAATCAAGTGGAAATTCTGGTATTGAAAAATGTAATTGACATACTGAAGAATGCATGAGTCTTTTAATAGAATAATTGATCAAGGACAAGAAAGAATTAGTGAGCTTGAAGAAAGGCTATTTCAAAATGCACAGTCAGAGGAGACAAAAGAAAAAAAATTCTTTTAAATGGAGCATGCCTACAGGATCTAGAAAATAGTCTCAAAATGGCAAATCCAAGAGTTCCTGGTCTTAAAAAAAAAGGGTAGAGAGAGCGAGAGATTGGGGTAGAATGTTTATTCAAAGGGATAATAACAGAGGACTTCCCAATCCTAAAGAAAGATATTGACAGTGGAGTTTTAAAGTCTCCCACTATTATTGTGCAGGAGTCGAAGTCTTTGTAGATCATTAAGAACTTGCTTTATGTATCTGGGTGCCCCTGTATTGTGTACATATTATGTTTAGGATGGTTAGCTCTTCTTGTTGCATTGATCCTTTAACCATTATGTAATGCCCTTCTTTGTCTCTTTTGATCTTTGTTGGTTTGAAGTCCATTTTATCAGAGACTAGGATTGCAACCCCTGCTTTTTTTTTTTTTTTGCTCTCCATTTCCTTGGCAAATCTTCTTCCATCCCTTTATTTTGAGTCTATGTGTGTCTTTGCATGTGAGATGGGTCTCCTGAATACAGCACACCAATGGGTCTTGACTTTTTATACAGTTTGCCAGTCTGTGTCTTTTGATTGGGGTATTTAGGCCATTTACATTTAACATTAATATTGTTGTTTGAATTTGATCCTGCCATTTTGTTACCAGTTGGTTGTTTTGCCCATTGGTCTTTACCATTTGGTACATTTTTGCAGTGGCTGGCACAGGTTGTTCCTTTCCATTCAGGAGCTCTTGTAAGGCAGGTCTGGTGGTGATGAAATCTCTCAGCAATTGTTTTTCCATAAAGGATTTTATTTCTCCTTCATTTATGAAGCTTAGTTTGGCTGGATGTGTACATGTACTCCAGAGCTTAAAGTACAATAACAAAAAAAAATATCAATATCCAAGTACAAGAAGGTAACAGAACAGCCAGCAGATTGAACCCAAAGTAGACTATCACAAAGCATTTAATAATCAAACTCCCTAGGGTTAAGGATAAAGAAAGAACCCTAAAAGCAGCAAGAGAAAAGAAACAACATAAAACAGAGCTCCAACACATCTGGCAGCAGACTTTTCAGTAGAAACCTTACAGGCCAGGAGAAAGTGACATGACATATTTGAAGTGCTGAAGGAAAAATCTTTTACCCTAGAATAGTAAATTCAGTAAAAGTATTCTTCAAAGATGAAGGAGAAATAAAGACTTTCCAAGTCAGTCCTTACTTATCAATCATAACATGGAATGTAAATAAATGAAACTCTTCAATCAAAAGACAGAGTGGCTATGTGGATTTAAAAAAAAAAAAAAAGACCCAATGATTTGTTACCTTCAAGAAGCACACTTCACCTGTAAAAAATGCATCATCTGGCTGGGTGCAGTGGCTCACACCTGTAATCCCAGCACTTTGGGAGGCTGAGGTGGACAGACCATGAGGTCAAGAGATCAAGACCATCCTGGCCAACATGGTGAAACCTTGTCTCTACTAAAAATACAAAAATTAGCTGGGCATGGTGGCAGGTGCCTGTAGTCCCACCTACTCAGGAGGCTGAGGCAGGAGAATCACCTGAACCCAGGAGGTGGAGGTTGCAGTGATCTGAGATCACACCACTTGCACTCCAGCCTGGTGACAGAGTGGGACTCCATCTCAAAACAAACAAACAAACAAACAAAAAATCCCGTAGTCATAAAATGATAGGACAGAAAAAAAACATGCCAATAGAAGTTTAAAAAGCACAGGAGTAGCTATATTTATATCATACAATATAGATGTCAAGACAAAAACTATAAACAGAGACAAGAAGGTTGTCATCTCCTGGACCTAATTGATATTTACAGAACATTTCCTCCAGTGACTGCAGAATACACATCCTTTTCCTCAGCGCATAGATCATTCTCAAGGATACACCAGATGTTTGAACCCAAAACAAGTCTGAAAACATTCAAAAACTGAAATAATATCAAGCAGCTTGTCTGGTCACAGTGGCCTAAAACTAGAAAGCAATAAGATAAAATTTGGAAACTCTACAAACACATGGGCATTAAACAAAACGCTCCAGAATGACCAGCTTGTCCACAAAAAAATTGAGAAGGAAATTGAAAAATTTCATTAAGCAAATGATAATGGAACCCCAATATACCAAAACCTATGGGATACAGTGAGAGCCATAAACCTTCCCCTTATTGCTGCTTTCACTGTATCCCACAGGTTTTGGTAAGCCAGGCAAAGAAAGACAAACATCACATGTTCTCAAATATTTGTGAAATCTAAAAATCAAAACAGTTGAACTTATGAAATTGCCATAGGCTGGGAAGGATAGTGATGGGTGGTTGGGAGGAGCAAGGGGAATAGTTAATGAGTACAAAAAAATAGAATCAATAAAATTTAGTATTTGATAGCACAACAAGGTGACTATAGTCAATAACAATTTAATTGCACATTTAAAAATATCTAAAAGAGTAAACAAGATTGTTTTCAATACAAAGAATACATGCTGGAAGGGGTGGATACCCCATTTTGCGTGGTATGATTATTTTTTATTGCATTCCTGTATCAAGACATCTCAAGTATCCCATAAATACATACACCTACTATATATACATACACAAAATATATTTTTTAAGTGGCAAAACTTATGAATAGACATTACTCAGAAGAAGACATAGAAAAGGCAAAAAGGTATATTAAAAGATCCTGAAGGGCCAGGTGCGGTGGCTCATGCCTGTAATCCCAGCATTTTGGGAGGCTGAAGGGGGCGGATTACCTGAGGTCAGGAGTTCAAGACCAGGCTGACCAACATAGAGAAACCCCATCTCAATAAATAAATAAATAAACCCTGAAGATAATTCATTTAGGAGAGAAATGGAAATCAAAACTATAATAAGAAATTATCTCACCCCAGTAAAAATGGTCTCTATCCCAAAAATAGGAAATAATAAATACTGGTGAGGATGTGGAGGAAAGGGAACCCTTGTACGCTGTTGGTGGGAATGTAAGTTAGTACCACCACTATGGAGAACAGTTTGGAGGTTCCTCAAAAAACTAAAAATATGGCCACCATACCATCCAGTAATCCCACTGCTGGTATATACCCCAAAGAAAGGAAATCAATATATCAAAGAGATACCTGCTGTCCTATGATTATTCCAGCACTATTCAAAATAGCCAAGATTTTGAGGCAATCAGAGTGTCCATTAACAATTGAATGGATAAAGAAAATGTGGTACATATACATGATGGAGTACTATTCAGTGATAAAAAGAATGAGATTCTGTCATTTGTAACCACATGGATGGAACTTGAGGACAATATGTTATGTAAAATAAGCCAGACACCGAATGACAAACTTAGAGTGTTCTCACTTATTTGTGGAAGCTAAAAAATACAAAAATTGAACTTACAAGGATAGAAAGTAGAAGAATGGTTACCAGAGGCTTTTAAGGGTAGTTGGTGGAATGGTTAATTGGTACCAGAGGCTTTTAAGGGAGTGGGAATGGTTAATCGGTACTAAAATCTAGTAGGAATGAATGTATAAGACCTAGTAGTTGCTAGCATAACAGAGTGACTGTAGTAAGAAATGATTTAGCTAATTAGTAATTAAAATGCATCAATTAAAATACAGAGATTGTCAGAGCAGATAAAAAGAATAAGACTCAGCTATAAGTGTTTTTTTTTGAGATGGAGTTTTGCTCTTGTTACCCAGGCTGGGGTGCAATGGCGTGATCTCGGCTCACCGTAACCTCCACCTCCTGGGTTCAAGCAATTCTCCTGCCTCAGCCTCCCGAGTAGCTGGGACTACAGGCATGCACCACCATGCCCAGCTAATTTTTATATTTTTAGTAGAGACGGGTTTCACCTCGTTGACCAGGATGGTCTCGATCTGTTGACCTCGTGATCCACCTGCCTTGGCCTCCCAAAGTGCTGGGATTATAGGCACCGCGCCCGACCAAGTGTTTTTTTTTAAACAAGAAAACCACTGTAAATATAAAGGCATATATAAAGTAAAAAGTAAATGGATGGAGAAAGGCATACGGTACTAACACTAATCAAAAGAAAGTAGAAGGAAAAAGGTAACGAAGTAGTAATACAACACCTTGGCTATTGCAAAAACTTTTCTATTTATTTGAATAGAAATTTCTGCCTCTGCAGCACTTTCGTAGGACATATTTAATGCCATTTCCATCATCAAGTGTGTCTCTTCACTGTCTGTGACTGTATTCCCAGGGGCTGTCTCACTGGATGCTGTAGTGCTTCACTGATGATAAGCACACATTCAAGTCTTCCCCAGAGTATGCTGGATAATGCAAAGGATAGTTTGTTTTTGTTTGGAATTTTATAGCATAAACATAGGATAAAACTTCTTCCAAGCATGTCACCTTTTGACCTTGTAAGGCGGTGATCTCTGCTGTTCTAGAATGAAATCTCTTTCAGTGTTGACTTCTACATTCCAGCACCAGCAGGAAGCAGAGGTGAGGACTCTATGAGTAGCATTAGAAGAGCAGTCACAACATAAAAATAACATTCATTCCTCAGCTGGTGGAACCAATGATCAGAACGAGAAACCAGATAATTAATGTATCCATTAGAGGCAAGGGAGAACATGTCCTAGAATGACTCACTGAGATTGCAGAGCAACTGTGTCAAAAAGGCTTGGAGGAGAGACGTGGCTATCTTATTAGGACATATTACAGCCCTATTATTAAGACATATTAAAGCCCTATTACCAACCTCCTTTTTTTTCCATCTTCCTCCCTTTGCCAGATTTTGCCCCAAATTCTTAGTTATTACATTTCCTGTACAGACCAAAAATTCTACAGAACTCCCTTCTTACTTGACACCTGCTTTTTCTCTCTCTTTCTTCTGTCTCTGGCTCTGTATCTCTCTCTCTCCTTCTTGCTCTCTCTCCACTTTTGTATTCTGACATCCTTCACTCAACTCAACATATTAACATACACACATACACTTAGGCTATACCTCTCCCAAAGACAGTGAGGAACTTTAAATAAGAAACCAGTTTATCTTAGACAAGTCGTTTATTTTCCTTTGTACATTTCTTCTAATTAATAGGATAATATTTATAAAACACTGGACACAGTACTGGATACATAGAAAAAAATTAAATGCTTGGTGGCATTTATGACTATCATGTTTTTCTTGCTTTTTCTTACACCAGGGGAAAATAAAACATTTTTTTGCCTGTTCATTCAAGAAGAACCATGTTCATAAGTGCCCACATGCATCCACGTGATGATCCCCACCTGCCCATAGACAGAAAACACATTTCCAGGCACAAATAATGGGATAAAGTTCATCACAATGGTTCATAAACAAGACATTATAATCACTTGAGTCTAAGCAAAAAGGGAGTGGAAACAATAGCTAGTATGTATCAAACATGTATTTTCACATACCTCAACCCTTACAATAGTTCTATGGAGACAGACATTATCCTCAGTGCTTCTATTATATTTTTTCACCAATAAACTGGCATTCAGGAGCTTAGAGGACAGAATTTTCTGCAAAAGTTTTTATGTATGGCATTCTTCAGCTCCTTGTTCCTTAGGCTGAAAATGATTGGGCTAAGGAAGGGGGTGAAGACAGTATAGGTGGTGGCCATCAAGGCATCACTGTACATAGAATGGAGGCCCTTGGGCTTGAAGTAAATAATGGAGGCAAAACTATAGTGCACGACCACCACAGTGAGGTGGGATACACATGTGGAGAAAGTCTTGTGCCGGCCCTCAGCAGAGGGAATCCTTAAGATGGCAGCCACAATGAAGACATAGGAGAGGATGAGGAGGAGTAAACAGCCTCCCAGGGCTGTGACACATACCAGCATCACACCCATGATAACAGATGATGTGTTGTTTCCACAGGCCAACTTCAAGAGGGAAAACACATGGCAGGCAAAATGTTGGATCACAGTAGACCCACAGAAAGTGAGGTGAAAAACTATCATCGTCACCATCATCCCCATGACTGAGCCACCAGCCCAGGTCCAGGCCACAAGACGGGCACAGCCACGGGGGCTCATGAACATGTTGTAATGCAGTGGGTGGCAGATGGCCACGTAGCGATCATAGCCCATGACCATGAGAAGGAAGGAGTGAGTGAAGCCAAATGTGAAGGAGAAGAACATCTGGCTGGCACAAGCCAGAAAGGTGATGGAATGATGGGTGGAGAGCAGATCAGCGAGCATACGAGGGGTGATGGCAACAGTGAACAGAATCTCAGAGATGGAGAGGGCACACAAGAAGAGGTACATAGGTGTGTGGAGTCTGTGTTCAATCCAGACTGTAGCCATGATGAGAAGGTTCCCCAGTAATGTGAACAGGTACATCAGGAGGTACAGCAGGAACAAGACGGGGAGGAGCTGCTGGGGAAAGGCTGAGAAGCCAAAGAGGATAAATTCAGACATGGTGCTGTAGTTCTGACCAAGCATGGATACTGTATCTGGTGAAATCAGAAACAAAATTAAGTGACACTGGTTAAAACATAGACTCTAGCACAGACCAAATGGCAACTCAACAGCTCTGTGCTATTCAACAATTGGCAGAACTCTTCTAGGTCTCCACCTTCCTCATGTGTAAAATGGAGTAAATAATAATAGTTCTTAACATTCAGCAATGTGACAGTCATCAAATGAGATCAATATTTTAGATGATCAAGTCAGATTTTGGCTACTAATTGGGTTTCTATTAACACTGACTAGTATAAAGAAAAAATTCAGTACTTGGGAGACATTAGAGACAGGCATGGATGATCAGGGTTAGATTCTCTTGAAAATATGCCAGTTCTAAAAAACATATTTTGATCTTGTGGTTTAAAGTTTTTTCCCTGAGAGTCTTTGTGTTTTAATTGCTTATTTAACCCATTTACATTTATTTAATACTGTTTTATTGGTACTCGTTGATGCCACCTTATTTCAAATTATACATTTACTATTCCAAAAAAACTGAATAGAAAATTTGAAAATAAAAAGATGGGTAAATATATGCCAGACAAATATGCACCAAATGAAAGCTGGGGCTGCAATCTTAATAATAATTTTTAAAAAGTGGGATTTAAGGAAACAGTGGTCACAATGTCTCTAATACCATATGCCATTCCAGAGAGCTAGAGCTCCTTGAGACATAGCTAATCTGTGGTCTGGACATGGAAGAAAGCCTTGGATATCTTGTACCAGTGTAAAATGAAACTTTCACTAAGTAATGGGATAATATTAAAAGTCTGCAGGTCCTAGACTGAAAAGATGCCCACTAGCCAAAATGGATAATCATTATACAGAAGATGGAGGAACAATCTAAATGATACCATGAGGAAGCTTTCAGAAAATTCAGAAGGTGGATAATTCCACAGAACAATTGGTCTGGTCTCATTGATAAAGGCTCATTCAAGGGATAAGAGAGATTTAAGGACATAACAACTGGATACAACATAAAGGACTAGTTGAATCTTGATTTACATAACCAGCTGTAAGTATTTTTAAGGCACTAGAGAACATTTCGACTATAGTATGAATGAATGATTGGGTATGAGTAATATTAAGGCATTATTACTGATCTAATTACTAATTGTTTAGAGTCCCGTCCCCCAGGTTAGAGTAGGATCATGACTCACTGTATCCTAACCCCTGGGCTCAAGTAATACTCCACCTCAGCCTCCTAAATAGCTGGGACTACAGGTGTGTGCCTCCTCACCTGTCTAATTAAAAAAAATTTTTTTTCCATAGAGACAGGGCCTCACATTGTTGCCCAAACTAGTCTTGAACTCCTCGCCTCAAGTGATCTTTCTATCTGAGCTTCCTAAAGTGCTGGAATTATAGACATGAGCCATTATGCCCAGCTAATTATTTTTTTAAGTGTGATCTGATTATTTTGGCAATGAAGAAAAATGGTTAGTTTCTTGATGCATGCTGAAATTTTAAAATCACGCACATATGCACACACACTTAAGGACAGAGAATAATATTTATATCATTTAAAAGAACATTATAGCAACTGGTATAAATATAATAAATCTACATTACTATATATCCTGGAATATTAAGTAATAAATAATAAAAACAACTTCAGTGAGATACATATAAATAACTAAATCAATGACAGATAGATATTATAGTTAGAAATTTTAACAGAGTTCAGAAATGTAATTTATTGATTATTACAATGCAATTAATATTATATATTATATATATTATGTATTAGACTCTTCACCAAACAGAGAATAACTGTTTTTTCAAGCACACATATACTTTTACAAAAACTGACATTTCATTAAGATATAAAAAACTCTTTAATTCTAAAGTATAAATGTTATATAGATTATAATGCATTAACATTAAACATTAATAGAGAAGAAATACCTTTTCAAATCTTATATGTTTGGAAGCTAACTATATAATTAAATAATCTTCAGGTTCAAGAGTAAATCATAAAAATTAAGAAACCTTTTTTTTTTTTTTGAGACAGAATTTCGCTCTTGTGACCCAGGCTGGAGTGCAATGGCGCAATCTCGGCTCACTGCAACCTCCGCCTCCTGGGTTCAAGCAATTCTCCTGCCTCAGCCTCCCGAGTAGCTGGGATTACAGGCACGTGCCACCATGCCCAGCTAATTTTTTTTTTGTATTTTTAGTAGAGATGGGGTCTCACCATGTGGACCAAGATGGTCTCGATCTCTTGACCTCATGATCCACCCACCTTGGCCTCCCAAAGTGCTGGGATTACAGGCTTGAGCCACCGCGCCCGGCCAAAATTAAGAAACCTTTAAAATTAAAAGAGAATTCAAATATTGAGTGTCAACATTTCAACCTAAAATAGTACTTTGAGGGAAAGATATAGCACTAAATAGATTTATCAAAGTTCATGCTTAATAAAACCAAGGTCAAGTATTAGAAAAGTTTGAGAAGACAGAGGGAAACAAGGAGAAGTTGCCAATAACAAGGCCCAAAATTAAAAATGGTAAATAATCACAGAGGCAATGGATATTTTTGAATTAATAAAAAGTTTTAAAAGATAATAAATTTGTATTGTAGAGGAAATGACCAAATACTCAGAAAAACATAAAATTCTAAAACTGGTTCAAGAAAAAAGAGGATCCTGTATGCTCAAACAAGCTTTAAAGAAATAGGAATGGTAGTCAAAGATTGTCTCTCTCTAAGATGGTGAGTTTGCCTCAGCGGCTTTTACTAAAACATAATAATTATTATTAAACTGTTAAGAAACAGTGGTTAATATCTTATATATGAGCTTCAAAAACATAGAAAAGTGTCAGGAAATCTGACCAGCACATCTCATCAGGTTAATGCAATTTTGGTCTAAAATCAGGTAAGAATGTTTGCCAAAAAAAGAGACAATTATAGGTCTACTTCACCTATACATGCAGATTTTAAATTCCAGAATAAAACCATAACCTAGTCAAATTTAATGGTGTATTAAAAATGGTTTACCATAATAAAGTAGTATTGGTTTATTTCATAAATGACAAGGATGGCTAACATCCGAAAACTTATCATATGATTTATCACAGGAATTGCAAAAAGAAAAATCATGATTATTTCAATCAAGGCAAAAATACATTTTTCTTAAACTCTACTTCTATATATGATTTTTAAAGAACAGTTCACAACACAAAATTCAAGGAGACTTTTTTAGCTAGACGTAGAATGTATAGCACAAAATTAGCAAATACTACACTAAATGAAGGAACTTTTCAGTGCATTATTTTAGGATTAAGAACAAGCCAAGGATACTCACTAACTCTGCTGTTCTTTAACATGGAACTGAAAGTCATGAGTGATGGTATCAGGCAAGAAAAGGAAACAAGGTATCTAAGGACTGGAAGGGAAGAAACAGTGATCATCTACCTGGAAAAGATAAAAGAATGATGAGGTCATCTATTAGAACAACGACAGAGCAAGGTCATCGGGTCACGGTGTTCCTCCTAGTATTGCACGAGTAACAAGCACTCAAGAAATAGAAGTTGAATACAGAGAAAGATAACATTCCCACAGCAACACAAACTATTAGTTTGGTACAAACTATTAGGTAGGTAATTGTGGTCTCTGTCATTATTTTTAAATTTAATAGAAGAAACTGTAGGGTAAGAACTTGGTAATCTAGGCAAGAGGAAAGACTTCCTAAGCAAAATTTCAAATGCACAAAATATAAAGAAATACGTCTCAGGATTCCATTACACCCTCAAATCACTGAGTATTCTAAAGGGCTTTTGTTTATGTGGTTTAGAACTGTCCATTTTTACTATATTTGAAAGAAAATTGAAAATTATTTAAATATTAGTTATTTGTACATTTAAAAGAGCAATAGTAAACCTATTGCATGCTAATATTGACAGAGCAGGAGCATTGCCATCTTGGACAAGTCCCTTATTCTAAAGTTCATCTTAATAAAAAACCACCTAAATCCAAAAAGCCTCAGGCAAATGGCTAAGGTCAGCACAACCATAAACCACAGATAACATCTCCAGTCAGACCTATTTCAGACTCCTCCTGAACCAGAGACATGCTAGCCCTGAGATAAGCCTCTTCCAGCTGGGAAGATGCCAGCCTCAAGATAACACATTGGCGGAAAGATGTCTGCCCCAAGATAACCTCCCCTCCTCCCAGAGACGTTCCAACCCCACCATAAAACTTCTCTCTCATGCAGAAACATTCTAAGCTTGTAATAAGCCCCTCATCCTAAAACCAATATATACTTAATCTGTAAGAGAAAGTGCTCCCGACTGAAATCAGCCAGAAGTTCCTCTTGGGTTTTATCTAAAGCAAAGCTGTCTTTAACTGCCAAGCCGTGTTTCATGTTTCTTTCCTCTTTCTTTAACTGTTACTACAAATGTAAGTGACATTTTCAGGCAAATAACCACAATAAGAAAAAGCATTTCGTGAGAAGAGTGGCCTTGATTGACATTTTAGCAAATACATCATATGTACTGGCCTGGTGGGAAACAGCTTCCTCACTCAGTCTGTGGCAATATGCTGTCTTAGCTGAAGCATGTGATGAAAATAAATTCTCATTGGAAAAATAAGGACTTCAGGGACCACTCTGCAGAGGACCTCATATCATACTTTGAAAAATTCTGCTGTAAAATATCTAGGAATTAACCCAAAATATGCCACACCTCCAAAGAAAAAATTTTTAAATACATACTAATAAAAATGTAGAAGATTGGCCAGGCGCGGTGGCTCAAGCCTGTAATCCCAGCACTTTGGGAGGCCAAGGCAGGTGGATCACGAGGTCAACAGATCGAGACCATCCTGGTCAACATGGTGAAATCCTGTCTCTACTAAAAATACCAAAAAATTAGCTGGGCATGGTGGTGCGTGCCTGCAATCCCAGCTACTCGGGAGGCTGAGGCAGGAGAATTGCCTGAACCCAGGAGGCGGAGGTTGCGGTGAGCTGAGATTGCACCATTGCACTCCAGCCTGGGTAACAAGAGCAAAACTCTGTCTCAAAAAAAAAAAAAAGTAGAAGATTATCTAAACACATGGAGTTTACAGTCTTGGGTGGGATGGCTTGTGTGCTGATGATGTCAATTCATACTCAAATTATAACCTCAAGAAAATCGTGTTTATAGTTGCAGTGAATCGATCATACATTTGATAAAAATTTATTTGAAAATTGCTTCAGAAAAATAAATGTCAGGCCAGCACAGTGGTTTAAGCTGTAATCCCAGCACTTTTGGGAGGCTGAGGCGGATGGACTGCT